ATTGTGTAGACAGAAGGGGTTCTTGGGCTCCAGTGGGGATTTTTCTATATGCACGCAGCACTGATTGGTCAATTATACCGGTCTTGTGCTTGCGTTTTTCTGATTGGCCTATTTCGATCCACAACTGGGTATGTACTTTTCATCGTGTTCTTTCGGACCTTCATTCTGACGTTCTATGCTCTGAGGAGTGTCCGACGAAAAAGCTTTTAGTTAATATGTTGTGAAATGTTTGCTTTTTTCAGAGCCATTTTCAAGTAGCAAAGTTATTTCTAGCTATGTGCAATGTTTATTACTTCTATTAAATTTCTAAACTACCATGAAAGCTGTACCAATTTTGCAGGGCCGCCGGACGCAGAATTGAACAGGGGGAGGAGGGGGGCAAAACGAATAAAAAGGGCAAGAATATCTTTTTTTTCGAAACATTAGTAAGTGTCAAAAATGGTACAGATTTCATTGTAATTCAGAAAATGACACACGTTGGACATAGTGAGAATTGTCTTTGCTGAAAGTGGACATTGCCCCGGGTAAGAAGCGAGCACACATCCTTCTTTTATACCTGTGGCAGGCGAATTATTCTCAACAAATGTTCAGATTTATTGCAACATACCAACAAATCTAACCCAAAATATGAACTGAATGGAATTTTTGAATTCCTAGTCTTTATATACTTCATTGCCAATTTCAATCCCTGTCCCTTTAAAAGCAAAGTTTCAGTCTCTATGATTTATTGAAAGTCCAGTCGAAGAATCATTTTAATTTTTTACTTATATATTTAAGCAATTTAACCCCCCCCCTCCTTGGTATTTGCCCCTTCCCATCGTCACTTAAACACATAATTTGCTCGCCTCCGTGGAATATTTTTTAAAGGCTACAAAATTTTAAGTTTAAGGCATCTTCACGCAATCTGCTGAAAGTGCGAGCACATTCTTCACTGCCATAAAAAAAATTTTGCACCATTGATTAGGTTTATCTCATCAGTCTTATGAACGAAACAAGTTTTAAACTCTCCTTAGACTTGATCCCGGTGGGCTCAGTCAGTTGGCCAAACGTATTACATCTGATTTCCGAAAAACTCCGAGAAAGGAAGGTCTGAAAGCTAGAATTCTGGGGCATAGAATCTGCTTTTTTAATCAGTCAGAGGAAACACAAAAGGGCAGGAATTTACTGATATGATGTTACAGATAATTTTTTAGGTAAATCAGTGGCATTAAGAAAGTACAACAAATTTAGCATCTAGTCTTGAATATTGTTTCAATCCTGGGTAAGAAACTTAAGTCTTTGTTTAAGTCTTTGCTAGCATGTACTCATTGCAGGGACACAACCTTTTTATGTCCTCATAGAAAAACTTTAACACGATGTTGTGAAGTAGGCAATATGTTGTAGTTATAGTTTTACAGCTGTCTGATTTTGTTAATACATATCAGGAACCATAAGGGATTGTTGCTAAAATTATATTTAGTGAACTCTGCTTTTCAACTTGCCTAAACATAAGTTTAAGAAAAAGAATGGTTCTAACATGAATTGATATAAAAAATTCTTGCTCAAGCTTGACTATTCTCAGTGAAAAGAGTTAGACAATTTTGGCAAAGGCACAGAATAGGGCACATTTCAATCAACCCAGAATCAGAGATAGGGGTCCAGTTTCTACTTTTAGGAACACACACGATATACATTGGACCAACTGACTGTGCCCGCCGGGGACTTGATGCGGAACTCTCACTAATGCGTTTGTTGCTGAAGACATACTACGGAAATTTTCTCGTAAAAATAGCAGTCTCTTTTGCAGTTGATATCATACATTACAGGAGCTTGAGTTTTTTTGCATCAAGACCAAGTAAAGATTCAAGGAAATTCCAGTGAATGGTCCTCCAACAACGCCCAGAGTTATGTTATTTTACTTAGTTTCTAAAGGCAGAATATCTGGCATTGAAAAAATTGATTTATCGAAAAAGGGCATTTGTTTATACCTTTTTCAAACAGGGTGCATGTGCCCCCGTGGCCTCCTGCTCCGGCGGCCCTGTTTTGGCAATATAAAATGTTACGCAAAAATAGATGTTTATGCCCTTTTTATTCATTTTGCCACCCCTCCCCCCTCCCCCCCCGGTTCCAACCTTCATCCGGCGGCCCTGATGCAAAAATGTACAATGAAAAAAATTCAAACAGTTAACATGAAGTAACTAATCGCCTTCAAGGTACCCTTTCAGCCTTGAATTACAGTTAATCTTGCAGAGAAGAACCTTTTATTCTAAGAACTATTAGCTGCGAATGCGCGACCAGTCTCTCAGTAGTTCAACTGAGTCGAACTACTCAGCAAATGGTTGTGCATTCGCAGCGAAGGAAAAAGTTCAAAATGTCCATTTGCTCAGTCGCGCGACCAGAGCGAATCAAGTGAAAACCGACCTTTAAAGTCTCATTCAAACGACACCTATTTAACGATTTAGGGTGTCAGTTGTTGATACAAGAAGTATTTTAGTGCAAAATTCAGATGAGGTTTCTATAACAGATCGAAAAGATCGAAAAAACAGATCGAACTGCGGTGGAGAGACGCAGCGATGGATTTCGCTCGTGAACTGTTTACAACGCATGCGTAGATATTCGTCGCTTCGCATCGTTCGGGCAGATTGACCTAGTGGAAAAACAGTTCTAAATTAAAGAATTAAAAGGGTAGATATAGGAAACTGGTGAAGTTCTAAAAAGTAATGGTAACGGTTAATCCTGTATTTGTTATCGAGCGTTGGGGAATGCGCTGTTAGGGTGCATCGTCCTGAGCCACGGCATTGTGTGGTAGGATGGCCAGTTCCTTTCCACGCCGCTTTTACCTCCCTAGTATAGTTCTACTTGATAAGATTCTCTGTAATAAGGATTCTTTTTAGATTGCTCGAAGACTTCATTGGCTAAAAGTCTAGAAACATGTTCACATGATAACCGGGAAGGAGAAATAACATGCCGAAATCACTTTGATTTAGAAAGGTCCTTTTTAAAAAACGGCTTTTCCTATTCTTTGAGTGTTCTTGAACAGTGTGGCTCTGTTTGATTCTATATTTGTAAGTATGCAAAGAGATCTGATCCATTTTTAGCTGTCAGTAGAAAGGTTTTAATATAGAAAGAGGGGTAATAATTTCAATTCTTGATGAGAAATGGGCAATTTCAAGGTATCCTCAACTGGCTGTGCTCCTCTACTTTCTTAATGAATTATACGTCCCTGCGTAGCAGTATATTGATACAACCATTCTACGACTCAGAAACTATCAAGTGAAGGATCCGATTTTTTTCTGTTATCAATGCCACTAACCGCATATTGAAGACAAAACCTGTCGTCCCTAGACCGCCATTCATTATACTTAGAGATAAGATGTTTTGTATTGAATCAGAAAATCACTTTATCTCCAACTGCTTGATACTACAGAGATGCAACCGTTGTCCAATGACTGTTCAGTGGGACTTCACTTAGAAATTAGACAGTGCCATTAACGTAAATCATCAAAGTAGCTACTTTCTCTTGTTTCTCGTTTCCAAATGGATATTTCACATTGGTTTGTATTTCACAGGAGATTTTGAATTTTACTTATACTTGTTTTATAGTATACTTTTATTGCTAGTGATTCGTCAGCAGATGAATTTTAAGACCTTCCACACCCCATGAAATGTAAGAAGAACCTGAATTATTACGATGTATCACCTCTTGTGCCTTCGAAAGTAGAAAATACCCAGTTCATCATTTAAAAGGAAATTCTTATTTTATGCAGATATTGGACCTCTTAACACGCCAGACCTAGTGCCGAAATTGGATGACGAGATTCCCTCGAGAGTCATCTCAGTAGAATGGAACAGATGGTATGTACGTTGAATCAGTGTCCAATCGATTCGAAGTATTTACTGACAATGAGACCAATTTTCTTGCAATGTTAAATTAAGATATTTTCGCCATCATATTCGAGCTGGCTTACGTTATGGTAGCCAAAATTTCTAGAGCTAAAAAAGAAGCTAAGCCAAAATTTCTCAAGGTTTTTATCAAAACTTTTAACTTTTGACGGTAGGGAGAGTTTTACAAGTCGTCTAGATATGCAATTTTGCTTCTGGGACGGTTTCAGCAAAGTTGTTTTTGTCCAAAGTTTTTGGTCTATTTTATGAATAACTTTATCGAATCGCAGAAATCGGTAAGTGCAAAATTCTGCAAGAATTTGCCAGGACAAGCTATTTCAGATACTAACCAGCCCACGTGATGAAAATATTCGTCTTGAATACAGCTTGTTTTACACAGAGTTTCGTAAACAGCATGATATGATTTTGTCAACAATTCGCCGGGTCTTCTTGTCAGCATGAATATTAAATGTGCTTTAATATTTATCGTACGATATCTCAAGAAGCAGGTTGTTGAATAGAGAATGCTTGCCTAGTATTGAAACTGAATCTGAACCAGCAGGAATAGTGGGATACCTGCAAATAACATCCAGAGGAGACAACCAAGGATTGCGTTCGGGAGAAAATTCTGGCCATAGCCACAATGTTTTATGCATTTGCACAAAAGAATAAGGCCGAGAAGCCTACAAAGAAACAAGACAGATATTTCCATGACAATCATTGTTATGATCAGCATAAATTTGACTATAAGTCGGAATATTTGGAAGAAGAAAATCCCGAGGAATCAATAGATGGAAATGGTGAAAATAGTGTGCAAGGGTAAATTTGCAAATGTCAGAATTTTTCGTCAAGCCTGTTAAATTTTTCCCAAAATAAGTGACCAAGAAATTATCTTTTCGCTAATTAATTTCAAGGTTTTCTTCATCTTTGAGCTTATGTTAATTGTAAGCATGGAAACACATCTCATGTAAAATTGTAAACTTTTATTTTGTTGCCTAAGTAACCGACTGGGAGTATTTGTATCTTAGGTCCATTGGAATTTCTAAAATGTTAAGGAACTGATGTTGGGAAGAGTGTTCTTTTTGCAACTGCGAGCGCTATTTTATCGTTTGTTAACTCTATTGCTCAGCCTGCAGAAAGCGTGAATATTTACTGATATATTGCCTAGCCGATGGTGAACATTGATCAGTTACCGCTGCAGTGAAGCACTTTCCATTGCTGCAGCTAACGCAGCGATTTAATTTGTCTGTACATCTATTTACACATACAATTATGTATAGAGATTATCGCAGATTCGATTCAAATAGATTTAAACGAGTGCTCAAGAAAAGTCTTTATATTATGAATAGTGTCGAAACTGAGTATCCTGCAGACGGATTGTTAGGTCTGGTAGAAATTGCCATCAGAAAATACAGTATAAAACAGTATTCTTATCCTAGAATAAACCTCATAACGGAGAGTGTACAACAAATCCTCAAAATTTCAGTTCCAGCTAGTTACAACTGAAAATGTTTTGCATAAACAACAAGAACTATAGCAAAGTAAGGCATCCCCGACTGACAATATCGATAACATGATTCTAAAGGAAGATTCTGATATTTTCTCTTATACAATACAAAAACCCTTCAACCAATCCATAAATAACGAAACGTTTCCTTTTGAATTAAAGGATGGTAATGTTACGTCTGTGTTTAAGAAACTACATTTATTGCAGAAAGGAAGCTATCGACCAATAACAGTTCTAGCTCAAATATCAAAAGTTAATGAGCGTATGATAAAAGCCAATTTGGCCTTTCTCAGATCTCTTATGAAAAAAGGTAAGCTGGAGCGGTTTCAACGGACCTTTTCAAGGCTTTTGACTGCCGCAATCAAGAACTCTTGATAGCAAAACTCTTGGCATATGGATTCAGCAAAGGCGCTCTTAATCTAATACACAGCTACTTGTATGAAAGGTGACAAAAAGTAGAAGTAAAAAGCTCTTCAGTACCTGGAAAAATACTTCATTGGACGTTCCACAAGGCTCAGTGCTAGGCCCGCTGCTCTTCAATATTTACATTAACGACATTTTTACTACTATACTACTATCGTCCCATGTGGATCCGATCTGGACGTAGTATTAGAATCGCTCGAAAGAGACGCTTGCTTGTTATCGCATGAAAATGAACGGTAAATGAATGGTTTGAGAATAATTACATGAAAATGAACGAAGAAAAATTTCATCTTCTAATTTTTGGGAAAAAGGATAAAGAGGACTCTGTAAACATCTGTGGGTCTGTGATAAAAGAGAGCACCGAAGAAAAACTTTTTGGAGTAACCTTAGACAAAAGGCTAAGCTTCCTATTTGATGTTGATAACCTCTGCATAAAAGCCAGTAGAAAACTTAATGTTCTAAAACGCATATCAACATTTATGGATGCACCTCAGCTAGTTCTAACAATGACATCATTATAATGCCTCATTTTAGTTATTCACAAGATTCATGAACGTGCACTTCAAATCATATGCAAAGATAGCTCCTCCAATTATGTTCAATTGTTAACAAAAACAAAATCAGTGTCTATTTACCAGAGAAATTTACAGCTGCTCTTGTTCGAGATATATCAAACTGTCAGTAACCTGAATCGAATAGCATTATAGACGATGTTTTTGTGACTAGTAATCTAAAATATGAATTTCGAGCAAACAGCAACATTATCTTTGCCTAGTGCAAAAAACATATGGCACAGAGACCATTGAATTTATTGGTCAAAAAATATAGCAAAAGCTACCTACTGAAATTAAAGATTGTGCAAAACGTAAAATGTACATTTAGGTAGGCTTTTTATAAATAATTACTTTTTATAAACAATCATTTTTATCGTAAAAAGCTGGCACAATACCACCTTTTAACCTGATGTTTACATCTTCTGCAGCAGTGAGGCAGAAGTGCCCTTGGAAGAGGTAATGCAAGAAGTTGAGAGATATTCAATGGGTAGTGCAGCCTCACTTCCAGTCTGTCATTCTGCTGGTGACCCTAAACCTGAGCAATTAGACAAAAAATCTCGGCCTTCTTCGATGCCTAACTCTGTCACTGGCAGCAAGCAAAGCATTCGTTCCAGGAAAGGTAAGCATTTGCCCCAACATAATTCGATTGAATATTTTACTGCACTTTCTTAATTTTTGACAAAAAATCGGATACCTGTGATCAAAATTTGAATATACAGTTGAGCACATTTTGAATCTAACGAAATGTTTTTAGACACACTTTTGCGACGTCTGCAAACAGTACAGGCACGTAACCAGAACGACGAAAATGGTGGTGAGGACGACCAGGACGATGCTTTATTGAATGAGCTGGAGAAAAACTCTCGATCCTCTTCTGCTGGTCAGCTTGATGGAAATGCTTCTCCCATAAATGGCAACAACATCCATGAAAGCAACAATCAAGCTAAAAATCCTGTTAAAAGTGCATCAAGAAATGCAACTGGTGCAGAAGAGGGAGGAGATGTATCCCCAAGAACTTCAACCCAAAAGGCCGATTCAAAACGAAGCTGTTCGGAGAGCAATTTTAATCAAAAGAATATCAAAGGACAATCACAAAAAGTTGAGGCTCAACGAAGTCTTTCAGAAGGAAATGTTGTTGATGAGGTGCGAAGGAACTCTAGGATTAGATCTCTTGGACAAATAAAGCCAACAGATTCAACCGAATTGAAAGATGCGTTTAAGAGTGGAGAAGGTAATGGCGTAGATGGAAGAGAAGAGGCAGATCGTTAGTTATCTTACTTTCTTGCTTTTCTAACCATCATAACCATCATCACACAAGTGTGTGATTTAATCAATAGAATGACCTTCAACAAGAAGTAATATTGACATTTATCACTTGTGTGAGATTTTGAAAGATAAATCATTAAGATGTAGCACTTCTTCTTCTTTGATATTGAAATTTTGGTATAAAGTTATCAACATAAATTTTCACTTGGTTCATCATTAAAGATAACTGCAGGCTGGCTGCCCCCTTAGAACTCGATTTGTTTTATTTTTTTCACAGAAGATGAATTGGCTCAAGGAAATGCAATCTCGCAAAGTCCATCTCGTCGCTCTGGCTATGCTAATCGAGAGTTTTATGGACTCCCGCCAATACCGCTTAAGGAATTAAAAGCTGATCTTTCAATCCAAGAAAGGACATTTTCGGCACCCTCTTTGCCATACTTTGATTTGAACACCAAAGAAACAATTACCTTGCCAAGAGCAATTAGGCCAGGAAGTTCAGGTGATAGTTTACATTTCTATTAGTCTTGTTAAGCAGATTACTAAGCACTTTAAAGTCTTCAACAACAAAAAAGAGCTGGTAGAAACGATCTCATAAGAATCTGCTTTTAGAATTTTTGAATTTGTATCATATAACTGAAATAAACACTTTGGAAAATCACAAAATGTGCAAAATTTTCTTTGACGAATGAGAGCCTTGCCTAATGGATCACCGTTGTTCGTAAATATTTTCACGAAGACCAAAATACAGTGTCTTGATGGAGAATGTGCCAGTGCTCATGTGACTAAATTGAAGTCAATCAATGGAGTTTTTTCAAAATTTATTATTGAAATCAAAATTCTAAAAATATTTTTTAAAAATCTAAAAATATAAATATTCTTTGTTAGTTTTATTACTTTTTATCAAACCTAGGATTTGTCATAGATCTTAGGGCCTAAGTTTATTTATCGAAAAGAGCGTTATCTGCTGTAACTTATTTATATCTTGCTAGATGCGAGATGACATCATTGAAATGCAGCGTAACAGCATAGTCATAGACCATGGTAACAGGTTGAATGTCATTTCTCAATCTTTTCTTAAATGTACGCAAATATAGTAAAATGTACGTATAAAATGTACCAAAATGTAGTAAAATTAAATCGAAAGTTAAATCGGTACAGTAACTATTGAGAAACAAAGTCCTTCACGTTATAGGAAGTCAGGTTCTTGCGAGAGACAAGAGGCGAGATCTGCCACAGACCCGAAACAATCTCATTGACGATGAACTCCTCGTTCACCAAACAAGTAATCTTTATGAGAAGCAAGACAGCATTTCTGAACAAGATGACGAGCCACGACGGAGAAATTCTTTCGAGACAGTATCAACTGACATTGACATAGACGATGGGGCAAATATTTCGGAAGCTTCTGATGAGCAAGGAAAGAAACCGAGATGGCATCCACCCTGGCAGTTGAAACAAGTAATTTTTATCTACAGTAATGCTTGCTTGAAATATTTATTAGACCTCGTGTTTTTCTATAAGATTATTGCCCTTCCAATTGATTATTGCCTTTTTGTTGAAACCAAGGATCGATTTATGATAAAAGCATGTAACAGGACATTATGTGTTTTCCCTAAAGGAAATAATTGCACACAAAGAGTCGATTCCTGTGCTGGCGATAGAGCCAAGAAATCGCTGGTTTGCATCTGGTTCAGCAGATAAAACTATCAAGGTATTTTTTGTCATACCTTAGTTTTTACAATAAAAAGACTGTTTTTTCTTACTGAAACCATTGCCTATTTTGCAAATGATTTCCTTGTATGGAAATTGTTTTCTCCTGGTTGACTATTGTAAACCAATGTCAGGAATTCAAGTGAATGGCAGTAGGCTTGAAAAGTACCTTTTACGTCCCTGTGGCTCGGTTCGTTCGTTTCCAAACCCCCTCATTTTGCTGTCATAAATCTATTTTTTCAGATATGGGATCTAAACAATGGCAACTGCAGACTGACAGTGAAAGGACACAAAGCTGGGGTTCGTGCACTCACCTTTGGGAGCAGCGGTCACAGGTTCATCTATTCAGCTGCCGATGACAGGCAGCTCCTCTGCACTGACATTGAAGTCAACAGGGTAAGGGTGTTTCCTTCAATAAAACCCGGACTGAATATATTCAAAAAAGAATGTTTATAAGGACCTTTAGACTGAGAGATCTCAAACGTCTTTGACGGGGTCTTTATGGGATTTCTTTTCGGTTAAGTTCCCATTTACCTTATTCTCGGATCTGATTCTTTGATTTCCGTCTTCATGAATTCTTGATACAAGTAAACCCATTAAACTCCATGGGTAACATTTTCAATAGGCAATCGGCACCGATTTCGATCCACAAATGGGTATGTATGTTTCCTAGCGAAGTGTTTTGATCTATGTTCTGACGTTTTATACACTGAAGAGAGTCAGACGAAAAGCTTAAGTATGTTCTAAAATTTTGCCTTTTCCAAAGCCATTTTTTTAAATTTTGTGCCACAAAAAGATTGTTAACTTTTTGTCATTATTCAGGGCCACTTGAATGGCAATCTTACAGGAATATTGGGTAAAATGTTTAAACTGATTTTTGAAGATACTCGTACCATTTTTTCCAGATTGTCACTCACTATCCTGACCAAAGCTCTGTTATTTATGCAATGGGGATGTACAGGCAGGCTGAGTTGCTAGTGACCTGCGGTAGGGATAAATACGTCAAGATATGGGACACGCGGGAGAAGAAGTGTATAAAAACAATGCGAGGCCACATGAACAGCGTGTCTTCGATTGCAATTTTAGAAAACAGCGGACAGGTAAGCAGACATCGACTGTTTTACGGTTTTGAAATTCTATTTGCAGATGAATGGCTGACACAGAAGCACTCGCTATTTTGTTAGAAAGAGAAGCTGCTTTTGAGAAGGACTGCCTGCAAGAGGAGCTATGTAAGAGAGGAACTACCTGAAAACTTTTGCTCAAAGTATAGACTCTTGGCTAAATGCAGTCGTAGCGAAAGAGAGTGTTATTTTTTCATCGACTTCATGTTTTCAAAAATATTTCATGTGAAATATTTCAATTCGTTCAAAATTAAATTGTCTATTGCGAAGTGTACAAAATTGGCAAAATGACAGACCAAAAGGTCCCTTCAGCCTCTACATCGTTGCTGAATATCAATAACCTGTAGAAATTGAGAGTTTAGATGGCAAAACTTGCGTAAGCCCTTCTCGCAAATAGCTCAGTAATGGGTGGGGCGCAAGACTAGTTCCGCACCTTTGCGGTTATTTCAGCATAAAATCAATCAAATCGCCTTCCTCCTTATCTTTATTTTAAGACTTGAAATTTAATTGTTATGTTAACCTTTTCAAATGACTGTTGTGTTGCTTTTAAGATTGTGAGTGGTAGCCATGATAGTACGATGCGCATATGGGATATTGGCGAAGGTCGTTGCACCCAGATTCTAACAGGCCACGAAAAAAGTGTCAGATCAATTGTCATCCACCCAGAAGAGTAAGTTTCTGTTTTATCATTCTATAAATATTTTCCTTTTGAAGAAGAAAACTTTCCTGCAGAAGTTCTCGGAAATATTTAATCAAATTTATTTTGAAATTGCAGGCCAGTAATAAGTTCAGCTTCAACTGAGAGAATTATTCACTGGAGCATGCCAGACGGTGAAAAAATGAAGGAAATCACACCGCAAGACATTTCAATAAACTGCATCTCGGTGAATCCTCAAGGGGCGTTGGTCGCTGCAGGTGGGACTAGCATTTCTTTATTTCTTTATATATGCTTTACTCTTTGAGAGGTGAACTGGAAAGAATGATCTTCTTAAAGATGCAACGAAAAAATTCAAATGCAGTAAACTCCGAAACAAAAATAAATTATCAGCACTCTTATTTGCAATTTTTTCAATTCTGCATTAATCGTTGTAAATCGTCATGAACATCCGACAAAATAAACTTGCATTCAAAATATAAGCAATGCAATGGTCATATAAAGCACAAGAAATTAAGATAGGATACTTAAGATATCACTTCCGTTGCGTAACCGATCAATGTTATTAGTTAGATTTGCTCCTTAAAGTCTCCAACATTTATTGATATCTGTTTTCATTCTTGATTTTTCTATAAGGTTCAAATGGAGTCATTCACTTATGGGACTGGAAAAGTGGTCACAAATTTCAGAAGATCCATCGAACAAGAGTATATGAGTCGCAAGAAGTTCCAATTTGCGTATTTTCAACAGTTTTTGACAAATCTGGAAGTCGGCTTTTGGTATCAGATGCAAGTAATATCATAAAGGTTTATGGTGAAGCGTACACAAGGGTATGCATCTACAAACTCATTCATAATTTCAAAACCTGTCCCAAGACCATGCCAAGTATTGCTAACTTATATCACCAGGAATATGAAATCACAATTGAAAAATGTCAAACTGTAGTTGGGTGAAACTGCAGTCCATAAAAGACTGCATCATTTCTATTTCTATGTTAAAAACGACGGATCTCTCATTTTCATTTCCGTAGATTATGATCATTTCTTGAAGCAAGTATTGAAATAATAGAAATATCATTGTGCAAATTGTTTCTCATACAAATCTTTATAAAATATAGAAGTTTACTGAGGAAGCAATGCTAAAGATTTGGTTGTTATTATTTCAAATGGGTTAACACACTTTCTCCACGGCTGTACTTAGATCATTCCACAGTTTCGAGTCTTTGTATGGAAATCATCTTTCGTCACTAGCGATCGTTGAAAGTCACAAAATCAAATTGATCATACAAGATCAGCTTTTCTTGACATGGTAATGGTTACAGAAATATTAGAAACATTGATGTTCAACCAAGTGGATTTTCAGGTTTTGAGACAAAGGTTTCTCGGATTCATCAAGCTTTGGTAAACATATTGATACACTAGATATGCGTAAAGTGAAGTCGTATTGCTATTGAGAACTGAAAAGCTTTTATGAAATCATATGAGAAAATATTTTGCAGGTAAGGAGACGATTCAATGTCCCAGAAGAAAAGAAACAGCGAAGGACCACAAGCTCTGGACGAATGACTGGAAATAATGCTTTTAGTTGAACATGAACCTAAATTTCAATCTGGCTGTGTTGGCAACCAATGGACAATTCTCACGTTCCCGAAACAATAAAAGATGTCAGATGACTAAATGTGTTCCTCGGTGTCCATGAACATACAGATATTCGATTGAGTGATGTTTTTTTATGAAATCGTTTTTATGATTGCAATCGTGTTTTAGTCTACATGGGCGGCGCCAGGTGTAGGGCTGGGGGGCTCCAGCCCCCCCTCCCCAATTTTTTTGCAAAATAGTGTTTTTAAGAGAATTAAAAGAATAGAAAAAATAGAAATAGAAGAAAAGAATATTGCGATAAATCCTTTTACAGTATTGCTTTATTTGAAAGAAATAAGCCGGGGTCTATGGTGTCCCATAAAGTAACGAATTCCATTTTAAGACTGGAATTAATCAAGCAAAAAAAACCATGCCTTAAAAATAGCAAAATGTTTGCAAAAAAGGACCGCAAAGAATATTCTGAACTATTTTTTAAGCTAGTCTAGAGGGCGTGGCTGCTAAAAATTACTGCTCGCTTCACTCGCAAAATTTTCTGCTCGCCCACTCTTTGGATATACCTAAGGCTCCCGACAAACTCTCGCCGCCCTTTCCAATAAAATCATAGGCATAAAATACCGTGAAGCATTTCAGTGCGTTTTTTTCAAAAGTTGGTTTTTTAGTCTAATAATGTTATCAACACTTTGAATTTCTTGGCGCCGCCCCTAGTCTATACTGATAAAAAAAATCAGATTGCAAGATTAACTCAACAAGGTAGATGAGTTTCACAAGATTGTGCATTCATTAAATTATAGTTCTCGTTTGAAAGAGACTAAGAACTGTAGACTGTTTATTTAAATATGTATTGTTCCATGAAATTTGCCGTTTTAATGTCCTGGTAAGGAGGCCTTTTAGATCATATTTTCATTGAACCCATTCCAGGGCACCGTTCTCCATTTAGACATTTACTACCACGAACTGGAACAGGATTCCATTTCTCGCAGTAGTTAGCCTTCATTTGCCTTGTGCCCTAGTCCCTAGTGTTGAATAGCTAGCCTTCATTTGCCTTGTGCCCTAGTCCCTAGTGTTGAATAGCTAGCCTTCATTTGCCTTGTGCCCTAGTTCCTAGTGTTAAATAACTAGCCTTCATTTGCCTTGTGCCCTAGTTCCTAGTGTTAAATAGCTAGCCTTCATTTGCCTTGTGCCCTAGTTCCTAGTGTTAAATAGCTAGCCTTCATTTGCCTTGTGCCCTAGTTCCTAGTGTTAAATAGCTAGCCTTCATTTGCCTTGTGCCCTAGTTCCTAGTGTTAAATAGCTAGCCTTCATTTGCCTTGTGCCCTATTTCTTAGTGTTAAAAAGCTAGCCTTTATTTGCCTTGTGCCCTAGTTCCTAGTGTTAAATAGCTATCCTTTATTTGCCTTGTGCCCTAGTTCCTAGTGTTAAATAACTAGCCTTCATTTGCCTTGTGCCCTAGTCCCTAGTGTTGAATAGCTAGCCTTCATTTGCCTTGTGCCCTAGTTCCTCGTGTTAAATAGCTAGCCTTCATTTGCCTTGTGCCCCTAGTTTTAAATACCGTAAATCCTCGAATTGGCCCCCCTTCGAAAAAGCCCCCCTCTCGAATAAGCCCCCACCATAGAGCTATAAACTCTCAATAAGCCCCCCTCGAATTAGGCCCCACTGTTACCATAAATTCTCGAACTTGACCCATCAATTTGACGATTTTTGCCATCTGAGGTTGCCTTTAGCGTCTTATTGAATTGCCAAAAAAATCATACTTTTGGTAATAATTAATTAAATTCTCATAAAAAATTCCTACTAAAATAAACGAGTTCTTTAAATAATGTCTCCTTAATGTCTACAATAACTTTTTAAGCCCCCCTCGAATAAGCCCCCATCCAAAAATATAAAAAATAAATTAGCCCCCAGGGGACTGATTCGAGGATTTACGGTAGTTAGCCTTCATTAAACTCTAGTCCTAGTCCCTAGTGTTAAATAGCTAGCCTTTTCTGCCTTTTGTACTCATAATGTGACTTATTTGTCTGATTAGCAAGTATTTTTGGCAGCTCGGGCTACATGATATGAAAAATTGAGCCTCCTTTTTTTGTATTTCATCTGCCGTATTCGTGGTAAAACGTTGCTATGGTATTGAGCCGACTGGACGTGATAAGTTATAAAGGTACTTAGCAAAAGGCTTTTCGAATTTCAAAGTCAAACACAGCCATTAGACGGGAATAAAAGCCGCTAGTTGCTTTGTTTTCAACGACAAGGTTCAGAAATGTACAAAAAATTCACTGTTCAATCAGGTTTTTAAAATATATTTCAAGCAAACTGCTTAATTAATAACAGGTTTAAACATCACATAATAGGAAGTTTCACAATTCATACTGTTCAAACACACGATACTTGTTACTTGAGACAAAACTCAGAAAAATCATCGTCAAGCAATCATCTGTTTTTGACAAAGTCCTTCATTTCCTCTATCGTTGGCTTGAATCTGTCAATATTGCCACCAGGTGTTCTTATATATGCTACAAAACAGAAGAAAAGGCATCAATTAAAGTCTACTAACTTCCTGCGCTTAGTCAAGACCGTATTACACATATATAAAAATGGAATAAAGCGGAGATTTTCTCACAATTAGCAGACTGCTTTTTCATCGCCAGAAAATTATGAAACTGAATTCCTAGTCAATATGATATTTTCCATACACGATGTCCTTGCACCCAGGATAACGATATACCAGCTAGTCTCCGAATAATGAACTGTCTACATAAGAAAACGTCGTAAATGTTAACTTTATCTCATCAATAAGACAAAAGAGGCCATCAAGAGGAATACCGCTCATTCAAGCAATTTTCAGATATTTTAACAATGTCATAATCAATCTTGTTCGAGACGGGGCACTTTCAAGTGCTTGTTAATGATCAAAATCTTTTAATGAATCACAATACCCTCTTGTATTTCAATATTATTGTTAAAGAACAATTCTGAGTGCATCGGCTACATTCTATCGCAAACTTTGCAAGCCTTGATCTTCACATTTGTTCTTCGCAAGTTCAAAGTCCTAAGCTCAAATGTTTATAATAAAGAACATTCTCCTTTATTCCTTGCAAAAGCCCTGGACGCACTAACAAGATTTCAGGAAAAACTTCTGACAAACTTAATCTCTATTGTTCATAGAAAAAAGGAATTAAGCTTGTTAGTAAACAAATGCTGATTTTCCAGTTCAGCCACCCAAAGGCCCTGAACGCACAGATTTCTGACATAAAGCTCATTATTTTTGTCAAAGTGGAAAATCAAGAAAACTTTTTCACACATGAACTGCAGAGCGCTTGAATTTCCAAGCGGAAATCAGATTATCTTTGTCAAACTTGAAAAATTATTCTCGATTTTCCAACTTGACAAAAAAATGCGTTCTACGTCAGAAATCCGTGTGTCCAGGGTCAAAAGCAAGAGCGTTAAACTCAGACCCTGTTTACACTGTGCCGGATAAATTTTATCCGCATCAAAATTAGTTCAGATAGGCGCAGCGTTTACACTAGACCCACGCTATCCGCACGAATTTGAGAGCGGCTATCCGAGCAAAATTAGTTCACCTAGGAAGGTGGATTAGATTAATTCGGATAGCTATGTGGTACAATGTTTAAGGGTTTTATCCGGATAAATTTCATCCACATCGCATCTTGCTCGAAAGTGATTGGCTATTTCATCCTATTTAGTTTTCACTGTCTCCCAATCAAGACATTTCGCCACATGGACTGCCTTGTAATCGATAAATACTCGAAATTACTTTTAAATTTTGGTCTTCTCAATTAGACTTACTTACAGTAAATTGCTCCTCATCATTTTACCTTCAGTGTATCTACTACTGGCATAAAGCCCGCAATTCAAGAGAAATTTTCTGGTCTGGAAAGAGCTGAGCATTTCTGGCAGCTTTAAAAAAACTATCCTCAGATAACAGACCACAAATGATTATTTAACATGAAGTATTTAAGCAAAATTGAACTGATCTTGATACTGTGCTGTACCAAAAGCTAATGAACTATCACATCCGTTTAACTGGTTTCACAATGAATCTTGTTCCCGTTCCCAAAAGGCGCATCTAATCGAAAAGAGTATGTCAATTATTTACCCTTATTTCTAAAATAGAACAGACTTTTTATTGTAACAATAAAGGCCTTACTTTTGTTATCCCTGTAGTTATCCCAGGCTGCTAAATATTCCAATGCCATTTTCCTGCAATTCTGTTTATGGTTGACAGGATCTCTGGCATAACACTTTTCCAGTCTTTCGCGATATATTTTGATCATCTCAACTTCAACTATTCGAGCATGGTACCACTCATCTCTGGCCCGTGCAAATGCTACTAGATCTCCTTTAGGAAGATCTGAAAAAAAGTTCTCTGGCTCAGAGAAGCTAAAGTTTTCCTTGGCCTTCTCCTTTGCCTTCAATAACGCTGGATCTGATGCCATTTTGATCCTACAAAAAACCAAAAACACAGCATTAATTAAAAGCTAAAATCAAAATTTGATGCTATGCACAATTTTACAAAAAGAGGGAGAAAGCTTGGCATTTACTCAATGAGACATTGAATACAAAAAGATTCGAATAGATTCTTAAATTATGAAGATTACTGTTAACCAAACTGCTGCAAAGTGGAAAGTTTTGTAGAACTGAATACATTTTCTGCTCATATCTACTTTCTGGAATACATTTTCTTTCATAGATGATGAGGAGCAATTTGTCTTTTTCCTGGCTGAATGTAGAAAACATTATCCGTTATGACAAGGGCATGATAAGAACATAAACAGATTATGTCCTGAAAGCCTTTCAGATAAATACCTGCCCAGATCATGTTTTTCTACATACAATACGAGAAATTCTCAGGTTCTGGAGATTCTTAGATAAATTTCTCAGAAAGAGTTTTCATTATGCATCTTTGAAAGCCTGGAATGATACACCTTCCAGACTTTGTGAGATACTGACTTTAACGCATTGAATACGCATTGAATGCATTTAAATAAAAACGCATTGAATGGGCTAGACTCATGTTCAAACACAACTACCTGGAACAATAGCAGACTAGGAACTAGGCTGTCATTTAGATATATATAGATTTAAATATTTCATTTAAATTTCAGAGTGCAAATTAATAAGTAAAGTTGGTAATTTATTTGCTGAAGGGTTTTTCGTGCATAAATAAATAAAAATGAAGGACTCTCAAACCAGTTCATTGACTACTCAAAGTGACAAGGGATTTTGAGGAAGTCTAATCCCTGTTACATACATGAGGGGGGGGGGTAGAGGGGGGGTAGCCCACTCAAAGGTGAGATCTTTTGACTGGGCTAGCTCAGTCAGTAAACATCATTGCTTGTGCGTAAAGGAAGTTGGCACCAATCAAATCTTATCTACAAATTGACAATGACAATGAGGAAAAACTTTTTTTGCAAAAAACATAGCAAAAGCTTACAATGATATAAATAATGCTGTTAAAAATCCATTCAAGTTGACAACTGAGATGATTGCCAATCTGATACCATGACGTATGATATGATACCTAGCATACCAGGTAATTTTGTAATCAGAAAAAAAATCAAATTGATATACGCCATTGTTGTGAAAATTGACATTCATCATTATGGCACCAACAACTAAAAAAATCTTGTTTACAAGTTTAAAATGCAAGCCCATCTGAGTGGGATAGATTACATTATACTGTAAACAACACACCTGTGAGACCAGCCCATTTACCGTATTTACTCTAATATTCCCGCTTCTCTTTTATTCCCGCCTCTCTAGTAATCCGGCTTGTATTTCATAGATTGTAAGAATAATCCCGCCTCCCCAATAATCCCGCATGCGGGATTGGAACTTTTAATTGGCATTTGCTATTCTTTACACACTTTGTATGGCTTGAAAATCAAGCATTGAAACTTATGCTTGGAGTGAATGGGTTAAATCACATGATAATGTCATAGACGGGAGAGGGCAGAGAGCTGTCTTATTTTGCAAGTTTATCATACATCCAAGTCTCGCAGCATAAAAAGATGTTTGTTTTTTTGACTTTGTACTACTGTCTATAAAGCACAATTTCTGCTTTGTCTTGTCTGTTAAAATGAATAACCCACCCCCCATTTAATTTCAACCCCCAATACATGTTGAAATTGCATATTTGTTCTCTGATTTGCCACAATCACATTTAAGAGACTTTTTTGTTGAAACGGTATCCTCAAACTAGACTTCAAGGCATTGAAAAAATAATCCCGCCTCTCCAATATACCTGCCTCTCAAATAATCCTGCCTTTTTTTGTTGGGTTGAAACGCTAATCCCGCAGCAGGAATATTAGAGTAAATATGGTAAGTGAGCTAGCACATTTCATGTTAACAGGCCCTATTTCAAAGGGCAACAGCTTCTCAGCCTTAAATAAGAGTTTCATTTTTGAAAAGGAGTTTTTCAAGGGAATTGGCCAATTTCAGCAGTAGATAATGTAAAATTGTCGACATCGGGATATTGCTCTTTTTAAGAAAACATTTATCACTGGAAGCAATTTATCGCTCTCAAATGTAACACTAGGCATGTGCCTGCGCACTTGCATGCCCCCCAACTAAAAACCATGCATTATCAAAACAGAGGTTTTGATTAAGTGTCACAAAGCTTGCTGGCAATGTGATCTGAGTATTTTAGTCTAGGCAACTTTGTTTCTGTTTTGTTGTTCTATGATTCTAGATCTAACAAACATTTGAATATGCTTTTCTCACATCTATTTCAACTATAAATCTTTGAATTCTACCAAACATAATTTTTCAATTAAAATATAATAAGTCAAGAAACTTCACAATTATCCTTAAATAATTTTCAATTTACATTTTTGGCTTTGAGAAAGTCATCCCATAGATACTAATACAGTCAACTCAGCTTATGATCACTCCATCCAAAGTCACACTACCGGTTACAGTCACCTGAAACTTAGACCCAAATATGCAAATGGTTCAATTTAACTCCTTTCACAGTCACACTCTGCTTACTGTCACCGATTAAATCAGAATTCAGAAATTAAAACAATAGTCCTTGAATTCTTTTGTAGGTCCTTTCATACTATAAGATATTCAGTTCTCAAAGTAGTAAATGCATGTGAAAGTGCTTGAATGTGCAAGCATGCATGGTTGTGTCAAGCCCTGAAACTTGTTTTAGATTTCCATTGGGAATAAATCTTCTTATAAATTTAGTAGAATTCATCTTCTTTGGATTTGACATGAAATAATGATTTTTTTCAAAGGCATTCAATATACAAACTGCCATCACTTGCAAGGTTTACAAGCCAGTAGCTTCTGGCTCTCATAACTACAAAAAGTTGCCTTGGAATTGATGCGTAAACATTTGTCGTAAGTGCACTTTTAACTCTCTGAAAATTTCAGGAATATGACAAAACACCATAGGTACCTACAAAGCGAGGGGCATAGACTCATGCCCCCATCAAGAAATTGTGAGTGAATGGTCAGCCAGCCCTGACAGCGTCTTGATACAGAACAGAACAGATTTTTAGGGAACAGCAACAAATCGGTATATTTCAGAAATTGCATATCAGACCATGTGCTTTGGCCATATACAGACCCTTATGATACAGGTACCCATCAATTGCTAACATTTAAATGCACCAATGATAATCGTATTCAAGTATCATGAACCCGTTTTAAAGGAAAAATTTTCATTTGGAACTTTCAACCTGAATCAATTCAATATAAGTTCATTACTTATGAAAAAACTTGATGAGAAATAGTTACACACTTAGTCTCCCTCCTGGGGATTCTTTATTATTTGCTATTTCATGAGTTAACATATTTCTCAGCCAAAAGTCAAAGACGAACTACATAATAGAGACTCCTTATCTCCTGTTGGATTCAAAGCATGTATGATGTTTCAGGAAGATTTGCTAACAGGCAGTTTCATTGGCTAATTGTCAGCACTGCTACCCTTTACTGTTTTGGAGACAGCAACTCAAACTTAAGGGCAGCAGCTGCCTTTCTGTAAATTGTAAATCCCAACTGCAAATTATCTTGCTAATGTGTTTCATCTTAATTTACTAGTACCCCCTGCCATTATACTATAGTATTGGAACACAAAGAAAGATAAGATCTCTAACAAAGTTTCAAAAGCATTCCACCACCCTTTTTTTATTGATCCCCATTTTAATTGTTGCCCCCTTCCTTCGAACAAATAGATTAAATTTACGTTTTAACAATCATATTTGAAACCATTTTTTCTATTATTCAAAATTTTTGTTCAAAAAAATGTTATTGTTGTTTATTAATATTGTGTATTGATTTATAAATACAAGCAAAATTCACAAAAGATGGCACATGGCTCTAGAGCCCCTATGGGTTATTTTCTTGTGTTATTCAGCTATAACTTTATAGATACAAATAATTATTTAAAATATCTGAACCTTGTATGTGTCGAAGTATAACTAAAATGGTATCTTAATTAATTGTTTAATTAGATCAGTATATTGTAATTAAGCTGAGAATACAAATGAAATTGAAAGTGAAATGTAATAGAGTTCCAGTTCTAGTTTGCTGGTTTTATAGACTTTTGATGTATTGACTAACAGCAAACTTTTATTCTACCCTCCTTATAAATATTCAAATTTCTTATGATCAAGTCAAAGAATACACCTGAATTAGTATAAAGCCAAGGAAATGGGTGTTATACTACCTTGTGCAGTGCGACTGATTCCAGATCCAAAATTTTCCTCACTTCAGAGAATCTAGGCCAGGCCTATTTCAAAGTCAAGACCAATTGCTCCTTCTCAGCAGTGAGAAAGCCACGCGCGGGTTTTGCCATTTGTCATGATATTTTTGCTTTTAAAACTCCTTTGTGTACAATCTCCCTGAGCGTAGCTAGCGCCCAGTGTGGGGGGGGGGTTGGTGAAACCCATCCAATTCTTTATAAGTTTGTCGGTAAATCTTCAGCTGGTTCATGAAATCCTTAATGGGTCGGTAAAATCGCCTATCGTTAGGTAAAAAAGCACCTAAACCTTGTCTAATGAACCTCCATCCTTTACTACACTCTGAAAAGTCAATCTACGCCACTGCTCTGAGTCCTTGGCAGAAATGGTGGCGGTCGGAAATTGGTGATGTTTCACTGCAGAATTTAACAAACGATAAGCACTTCTGCTCAGGGTTCGGAGATTTGTACCAAACGAATACTTTAGCAACTAGGTTTGAAAAATCTCTGTACAAAAACGTAAACCTGGTTATTCTCCAAAGCAACTGTGTTTTGGGATGAACTCTTGGAAAACCAAACTCGCAGTGGAGGCAGTTGATTTGCCAATAAGTTTTAAAAACAAACCGGAAAATTGCTCTAGAACAAAATGTGCTCTTGCTACCGAGTTATTAGGAACGAACAAGATGTAATACTGACTTTCTGATTGAATAAAAGACACAATTAATCATCTTATAGCTGCTGTTATTACCTAGGAGGCTTTATCAGTTTTGTAA